GAAATCCTCGACTATAAGTTTGTTGAATTCTCGATTATTGTTTCTAAGTAATCAGTAATCAGGTCCAAAAGAATTTGCTCGGACATTTCTGTTATATACAGGACATTTCTGTTACATACAGGAATTTTCGCTTTAGCTGAAGTCTTAGATGTAGAAAGATATACGCATTTCTTAATGCTAAGCTTGGGCATAAGAATATTATTGAATGAAAAGTCCTGTAAGGAAAACAATGCGGGCGCAAAAATACTCTTGAATGAATTTGTTAAAAAAGTTCCAAATTTTTATGATGATTCTTTTTTAACATTCAACTATCACTGCCTTACACACTTGCATAGTGATGCATTGAACCATGGATGCTTAGAGTCTGTAAGTGCGTTCAAATTCGAAAATTTTTTGTCGAAACTCAAACGAAAATGCAATAAAAAAGATCACATTGCTGCACAAATATATAACCGCTTGGTTGAGGAAAGTTTATATTCCTCTCAATATTCTGCAGCAAAAATTACAAATAAAAAAGCAGATGAAAATGGACCAGTGAAGTCAATAAATATAGAATTCTTTTACTTATCCCTTAAACGTCCAGATAATTTTTACAGCGTCCAAAATAAAATATTTATTCTCAAACGACTTTCAAAAAAAGACAGTGCTCTTGAAATTATTTCCAGAGAAGTTATAAACTTAACAGACTTTTTTACGATTCCTATAAAATCATCCCATTTTAATATTAAATGTTGCGCCACATTGCAGTTTTCTGATTGTCAATTTCAGCATTCAGTACATGAAATATCTCAGAAAATCATTGTCTTTAATAATTTCGAATGTAATAAATTTATATTTATACCTTTCATTCACATGTAGATGGATTTAAACAGCACATTTCTTAGTTCGTCAGCAATACTAGCAGAGGAGCTGATATCTAAAAAAGGTGAGTTTTATTTGTTATTTGATAAAGATATACATATCTAATAATATTATTTTTAATCTTTCGGATTTAGATGAGTTACACCAAAAAATTGATAAATTTCAAGAAAATGTTTTAAAAGGTAAAATTATTGTAGTGTTTACGTTGTTGGACTTTTCATTAAATAATAGGGCTATCACTAAATCCATCGTATTGCGATTTTCTCGATGCATTTCTGAACTAGATAGAAGTTGTTTCGATTTATTTGGCTGGAAGCGAAAATGCTTAAGTCAGATTCATAAGTTGTTTTTGCAAAAGTCCATAAACATGTATCCTTAAATCGTTAATATCAACCAATATGTACTTATGTATATCCCCAGTATTTTATATACATTTCTCATATTTACAGAACAAGAAATTACACAAAAGCTTCTGAAACGCGTTCTCGAAGAAGTCAAAGCTAATGGCAATTCCAAGAGTAGCACACGCAAGCCGATAATGCCGAAAACACCGTTTAAAGAAGAAAATGATTTTAAAGACTTTGAGGCCAAAATAGAAAAATCGGAAAACAAATTTAATGACTTGGTAAGTTTTGTAAATAAGCGTATAACCGCATACTATTTAAACATGAAAGTAATTACAACATGCATATGACTTTTCTAGGTTGCCGATTTTTTGAGCATAATTTGTGGCAATTCATCAAAATTTTTAAAAGAAGCATGGCGGAAAATTATGACCGACGAAGTAGCCCAAAAATTGTGCTGGCAAGGAACAAATAATAAAACGCCCGTTCGAGCTTTAAGTGTAACAACAGCACTAAAACGTTAGTATGTCTTATCATTCTTTAATTTTTACACATTTGTATGTATATACATATGTATATCATTTCAGAAGCGTACAATCTAAAATTTGCAACTGCAGCTTCCGACAGCGAGTTCGAAAGGACAGTCATATCATTTTT